TGCTACACTTTATGGTGAGAGCTGCTACACTTTATGGTGAGAGCTGCTACACTTTATAAGAGCTGTGACACTTTATGGTGAGAGTTGCTACACTTTATGGTGAGAGCTGCTACACATTATGGTGAGAGTTGCTACTCTTTATGGTGAGAGCTGCTACACTTTATGGTGAGAGCTGCGACACTTGGTGAGAGCTGCTACACTTTATGGTGAGAGCTGCGACACTTTATGGTGAGAGCTGCAACACTTTATGGTGAGAGCTGCTACACTTTATGGTGAGAGCTGCGACACTTTATGGTGAGAGCTGCTACACTTTATGGTCATAAGATTAACAGTTATAGATGCGACATTAAGTAAGATTAACAGTTATAGATGTGACATTAAGTAAGATTAACAGTTATATATGCGACATTTCAAAGACACAGCCGCGACACTTGGTAACTAAAGCAGTATTCTTTCAAAGCTACAACACTACATAGTATGTATTCAAGGCTGGTACACTTTTGTCAGTGATATTATAAATCACCAAAATAACATAACACAAAAGCCACTTTTATCCACAACAATAACTGCACAGCATAAAACATTGTAACTCGAGGGACGGAGTAACACGTATGACACTGACACTGACGTGGGCACTGAGACATTGTTATATATAATCAGAGGTGGGCAGTATGTAGAGCCTACATGTAGCGGTAGCGGTAGCAGCGCTACATTTAAGCAATTGTAGCGGTAGCGCCCGCTACATTTAGAGCATGTAGCAGTCGCTACATTTCAAAGTAGCGCTGCCCAGCTCTGTATATAATATATACCTATATCATATATCATTTAAATATACGAGGAAATTATGTTTGTTTGTATACTCGCCTCCGAGTACACGAAGTGTGGAACTTTGAACACCATGGGAATATACGTAATATATCAGTTATATATTAATAATATTTGTTATATATTTGTTATACTCGCCTCGGAGTACACGAAGTGTGGAACTTTGAACACCATGGGAAGCTGTTCCCCTTGTTCACCGCTGCCCTTAGCCACCTCCACCATGATGCTGTTGCCGTCCTGAGATAACAACATCATAATCTACTCTGTATAATATAATATATAATAACAAATAATAATATAATTATATATGTAATAATTTAATATATAATAATCAGTGTCAATCAAATCTTAGAAGATAAGAATAAAGTTAAGTAAAGAATAAAGTATACTTAGATGAGTTAAAGTTTTTAATGAAGAAGAACTAAAGTTTTCAAAGAAGAAGAGCTAAAGTTTTTAAAGAAGAAGAGCTAAAGTTTTTAAAGAAGAAGAGCTAAAGTTTTTAAAGAAGAAGAGCTAACGTTTTTAAAGAAGAAGAGTTAAAGTTTTTAAAGAAGAAGAGTTAAAGTTTTTAAAGAAGAAGAGTTAAAGTTTTTAAAGAAGAGTTAAAGTTTTTAAAGAAGAAGAGTTAAAGTTTTTAAAGAAGAAGAGTTAAAGTTTATAAAGAGGAGTCAAAGTTTTTAAAGAAGAAGAGTTAAAAGTTTTTAAAGAAGAAGAGCTAAAGTTTATAAAGAAGATCTAAAGTCTAAAGAAGAAGTTACTCACGGAGGTGAAGAGCGGGGTGATGAACACGAAGAAGATATCATAGAAGAAGAGACAGGCGAGCAGCACCGTGCAGATCTTCAGGTTAGGCAGACGGATCAGACGCAGCATGTTGATGCTGAGACGGGGAAAATGTAATAAAATTATAAATAAAATATATTTGATATAATATATAATAATATAGTAAACAAAATGTCTTTGATAAAGTATAATAATATAATAAATATAATATCTTTGAGAAAATATAATAAATAAAATATGTTTAATAAAATATAATAATATAGTGAATGAAATATCTTCGATAAAATATAATAATATAATAAATAAAATATCATTAATAATATATCATAATAGAATAAATAAAATATCTTTAATAAAATATAATAATAAACAGAGAAAATGTCATTATGCTGAAATGCTTGATGGAATAAATCATTCAACATTGGAAGGGAATATGATAACAAATAGTTATACCTCTATATAACTATATATAGTTATAACTACATATAGCTACATATAGTTATAAGTGTAGTTAGGCAGAAGTTCTTCATTTGTACAGGTTTCATTGAAGACTGCAGCAGTCTTTAATTAACAAAAACATTAAGAAAATTGTTAATAAAAATAACGCTCTAGTTTTCAATCAAACCTGCATATAGTTATAACTATATATATTTACATATAGTTATAACTAGATATAGTTATATAGAATTAACTATGTGTAGTTATTGAAGTCAAATAACCTTATATAGTTATATAGAATTAACTATATATAGTTATTCAAGTCAAATAACTATATTTAGGTAATTATTTACTGCTTCACCTATCGTGGCTTTATTCAATGAGAAAAATAAATCGCACATCTTTGCTGGTGAATGAATAAGCTTGGAGATTGGATATTGTGGACATATGGCCGGATATCTAGCCATAAAGAAACGAATATCCTGTAGGATACATGCTAAGGACTGGATAAGGAAGTGATAAGATTAGATATTGTGGATACATGTATAGGACTGGATAATTAGGTGATATCATTAGATATTGACTATTGAGGATACAAAAGGATACAAAGCAAGATATCTAAGCAAGGATATCCTGCAGGATACATGCAGGAATAAGGAAGGATATAGCGGACATCCGGGAGGATATCTCACCAGAAAGCAACACTAAGGATATCCTGCAGGAATAATGAAGGATATTGTGGATACATAGCAGGATATCTCACCAAGGATACCCCGCAGAATACATACAAGAATATGGAAGGATATTGCGGATACAAAGCAGGATATCTGACCAGAAAGCAACACCAAGGATATCCCGCAGGATACATACAATATGGAAGGATATTGCGGATACAAAGCAGGATATCTGACCAGAAAGCAACACCAAGGATATCCCGCAGGATACATACAATATGGAAGGATATTGCGGATACAAAGCAGGATATCTGACCAGAAAGCAACCCCGAGGATGTCCTGCAGGATCCAGGCGTAGGACTCATTCCTGAGCAGGAGCCAGGCGAGCGCGAGGGCGACGGAGAAGCTGAAGAGCAGCAGCTGCCGCACCTCAACCTGGCCGCGCAGCACGTAGATGTTGAAGTGGGGGGTCCTGTGGGGTAGATGAGTCTACTTCAGGTGTTTAGTGCATGGTAGATGTTGAAGTGGGGCGTTCTGTGGGTAGATGAGTCTACTTCAGGTGTTGAGTGTAGGGTAGATGTTGAAGGGCGGTGTTCTGTGGGTAGATGAGTCTACTTCAGATGTTGAGTGTAGGGTAGATGTTGAAGTGGGGTGTTATGTGGGTAGATGAGTCTACTTCAGGTGTTTAGTGCAAGGTACATGTTGAAGTGCGGTGTTCTGTGTGGTAGATGAGTCTACTTCAGGTGCTTATGGCATGGTAAATGTAGTGTAGGTATGTCTACTTCAGGTGCTTATGGCAAGGTAGATGACAGTCTACTTCATGTGTTTATGGCAAGGTAGATGTAGGGTAGATGACAGGTTACTCTATCTGTTGAGTGGAAGGAAGATGCAGGGTAGATGACAGCCTAATTTCATGTTTGCAACAAGGTAGATGTTGGGTAGATGAGTCTACTTCATGTCTTTGTACACAGAGCAGATATTGAAATATTCATACTAATTAATTAATATTCATACTAGTTTTTGTAAATAAAATTTAAATTGAAAATTATTTATTGCCAATGTATTTTTTTTATTTTCTACACAAAATCAGTAATTATCACTAACAAGCCAGCAAAATTTTTCAAAAGCACAAATTTCTAATAAAAATTAATAATTATTATTCAATAAAAAGGTATTTTTAAATACTATACTGAATGAGCACGTCTCAAATAAAGTCAGAATTTTACAATGAGACTGAAATTATTAACATAAAACAAAGCTATTCAGAATTAAAGAAATCTATTGACATTCAACAATGAGATGGAAATTATTAACAATAGAATAACTAATTTAACAATTATTTAAATTATTAATTTAATAATTATTCAAATTATTAATTTATTAATCATTAAATTATGTATTAACCTGCATGTAGCACACGGCAACATAAGCACCAGAGGCTCGAGGCAGCTGTACACGGCCGTCACGGACGCTATGCAGAACAGCCCGATGATCACGTACACTGTACATCATACAGACTACATTATTATAATGGTCATATACAGTCAGTAATATTGACTAAATCGATATAAAAATTATTACCTTGGCCATATACAAGCAATAATATATAGGTATTTAATTGCTAGAAAAATTATTACCATGGCCATATACAATCAATAATATAGACTTAATGGCTATAAAAATTATTACCATGGCTATTTACAGTAGATAATACCGTCTCATCACTCGCAGCATTCAATTTGTGCTCGATATCTACACTATATTTCCATCTGCTTACATAAATTCATATTGTACCCAGAATTGCTATCTTTTCTGGCAAATGAACCTGCCTTTGTGAACGACTGCGATTTGATGAAGATGGTAAACATGTTTCATTAAGTTATTATACAAACAAATCAAATAGATATTTGCTTAGAGCTCCATATAAACAAATGATAAGTGCTCAAAACTCAATAAAAACTATTGATACTAAAATTTTCATGGCTGAAATAAGTTTTCATTCCTGAAGTTTTGGATTTTATTTACCGAGCGACAGAGGTAAGATGGAGCCTTTATTAAACATTTTCATAAGTTAACTTTTTTGATGTTTTTAACAACTTTTTATCTCAAATTTTCTGTTTTTTAATGACCACAACAGCTGGTATAGCCTGCATCATTTGTGAGATCTTAAAAACAAGAGCCCAGAGGCAATAAAAAATATATTTCTAATCAATTAATTTAATTTAATTTCTAATGAATTAATCTAATCTAAATTCTAATTAATTAATCTAATTTAATTTCTAATTAATTAATCTAATCCAATTTCTAACTAATTAATCTAATCTACTTTCTAATTAATTAATCCAATCTAAATTAATTAACTGTAATTTCTCACCAAGATAATTGTAGAGGTAATAAAGCGCCAGCAACATGACACACATCATGAGGACCAGGAAGAGCATCACTTTGACGCTGACGTAAACTTCATCTTTCTGGCGACTCTTGAGCGCTTCTTCGGCTTCAGCGTCAGCGGAGGCTGAAGCGTCGGCTGAGTTGTGCTCTTCCTCTTGAGCGTCGCTGCTTCTGTGTCGTCTCTTGCCACGACTCCCACCGGAATACCTAAAGTAATATAACTGGTATTTTATAAACTATAGAGAAAATGCCCTATAAAAAATACCTGAAGTAATAAATTTTTTTGGCCCTGTCAAAGTTTAGAGTCGCCCCAGCTTCTGGTAATCCAAATCAGAAGCTGCCGCGACCATAAATTTTCATTTTGTAAGCTATATAAAAATACCGGAAGTGATATATTTTATAAGCTATAGAAAAAATACCTGAAGTGATCTATTTTATAAGCTATAGAAAAAATACCTAAAGTAATATACCATTATATCAGCTATAGAAAAAATACCCGAAGTGATATGTTTTATCAGCTACAGAAAAAAAGAAAGAGCCGAATGCAGGTTCAAGTACCTAATAGTAATTTGAACATCTTCATGTGAACAAAAATTTGCAATTGAGTAAATAAATTACAAAAAATCCCAGAATATTCTTGAAAATTATTCCAAAAATTCTAAATTTTATAAATAATGAATGAAGAATATATAAACTGAACCCAGACAATAACAATTTGATCATCTTCACGTGTAAAGTAATCTGCAATTAGTTTAATTAGATACATGAATCCCAAAATAACCTTGCAAATTCTGCTAGATTTACTGTCTTAAAATGAGTCCAGAGAATAAAATTGTTCATTAACACACAGAGAGGGAAAGGAACTTCGCATACGCAATGCCTTGACATAACAGTTCTATAAAGAAGGAACCTCTTCCTCAGACTATTCGAATTTCAAGTGGGTAAAAAAATCACCAATGTAGTAGTTCTTACAAGAATTTTTTTTTGGTTAAGGAGATATTAATGAGAAACTTTTCATAACGAGACCCTCACTGTCAGAATACATTACCTACTCACTATGAATTTCCAGTGCAAAATTATCAAATAACATGTTGAATTTTTTTTAATCACATGAATTTTTGGCAATAAATTTACTGAGAAACTAAACTTTATTATAAATTTATACTTTATTTTACTTACTGTTTATTATAACTTTATACTTTATTTTATTTATTATTTATTATAACTTTATTTATGACAACAACGTTTACATTACTACTCAAAATGAATGCACAATGCAAAATACTTAATACCCATGTTATCAAATGAATTTCTGGCAATAACATTACTGAGAAACTAAAGTTTATTATAACTTTATAATTTATTTTATTTATTACCTACTTATTATAACTTTATACTTTATTCATGACGACAACCTTTACTTTACTCACAATGAATGCCTGATGCAAAATTACTCAATACCCATGTTATCACATAAATTTTTGTCAGTAACATTACCAAGAAATTATTCATGATATACCTACACGAATATATCATGAATAGTTATGAATATATACAACTTTTACATTACTCACAATGAATGCCTGATGCGTCCAGACCAGAAGGCTCCAACAAAGACAGTGCCTACAGCCAGCAGCCAGATGACAATGAGGCTGTAGTTCAGCGCAGAGTCTTCGGGTGGAGAATAAACAGCGACCAGAGTCGAGTCATCTGACTGAAAGTGATGAAAATATTACAAGGGCTGTAAATTGAATTAAAGTTAATACCTCCACTGGAATTTATTTACTCTGCTAGAATATTTAAAATATCTTTACAAGATAGATATACAAATTTCAATTAATTCTGTCAAATGTTTACAAGATAATTAACTTTTTTATCAAAAGATGATTGGAAAAATAACTACAAGAAATCATCACTTGATAAACGTAAAAATGTCATCTTAAAATGATATACCTACATATTTACAATTAAATTAATTTTTCCGCACCATTATCAGTACTGCATGAACTATTGAACTATCAAAAAACAATGAAAATTAACTCACTATAATCGATTGATAGGTAGCATTACTAATGAATGTCAGCCACAGCGATACATTAGTGGCAGTTTGGTCCGGAGCTCGCTTGTCACGTACAAAAATACTTCCTACAGCACCAAAGCCCTGAAACAAAATAACGATTATTATAATATTTCCTTATAATGTATGGGACTACAATCCCATAAACAAGGTGAACATAAACTTGAGGATTATTTCAATAGCAAGTACCTATGGCAACTGTATATAATATAAAAAGCATATAGTATAAGGAGCTCAATGTAAAAGAAGTCAAATTTTTTGTGCGCATGAGAGTGATGTTATTATAAGTAATGATGATGTGGGTGTGGGTATTTTATACACGTTACATTACACAGAATTGGAGACCTGAACTGCAGGATTGTTATACAAGCAACATTAAACATAATTAACACCTGAACAGCAGCAGCGGCTTGCAACAAGGAGCAGTTGGTGTCGTTGAGACGACCATCAAGCAGCAGCAGGTGACCTGCCAGGGGCCCTGGAGGAGGGCTGGTGGAGCACGGCCACCAGTCAAACGTGTCTATGACGGGCAGATAAACCTGCACATACAAGTGCGTAATTATTATGGTTGGGGGGAACAAAAATCTATTAATAATATAATAATAATAGTAGTGAACAATAATAATTAATAGCATTCACCACTATACTTATTTATAATAAATAAATATTTAAATAATTTAATTTATATTATTCAGTGTAGGTATAAATAATAATTTACAGCATTATAGTGTAATTATAGTGCCTATAATTATTATTTTAGAGTTCACCACTATAAATGACCATAAAAATGGTGAACAATAATTTATTTATAAGATGTTTTCAAAAAGTCATAGTTTTACCATTGTGCTCCAATAATAATTAACATTTGTATGTACCGGTATTTCTGATAATTTGCAATTCCAAGGAATATTTTCATATTGCCTTGATTTTCATTTAAACTAACAACTGGCAAAGATGGTATGCAAAATGCATATCAAAACACTCTAGGCCAAGTTATTGAATGTACATTAATCAAAATAACTTGGTATAGGTAATATAGTTACGGTACTCATCTTTCAATTGTTCATTAGGAAATTATTCAATTTCAAACCTCACAATAGATAAATCAGTAGGGTATACCTATCAATTATTTCAACATAAAAATATTCAACAAAAGCTGTACCTATATACTAATAAGATGTACAAACATATATACTTTAATTGTGCTTTATTGAAGATGTTAGATCATTATTGTAAACTAAGGCTGAAGCCAAGCCAATAGTGAAAATGTATTATATATTGTATTCCCTGCATAAATAATTTATATATGCATACATTATAAAATTTCCTAAACAAATAAAATTAAAAAATAAAACGCTTGAAAGAGTTAACTAAAGAAGTTAAAGAGTTAAGAATGAAAGAGTTAGGAGTTTTCTGCCTGAAAGAGTCAACCAAAACTCAAATAAATGTTTTGAATAATAAATATCACAGTAATAGCCCAAAAGTTGCAAACTTACAGCAGTTGACTCATAATGAGGCATGTCCGAAATCTCAGGGTAGAAGCTTGTGCAAACTTTTCTTTGAGTCGATGAGTTGCCCTTGCTTTGTTTCACCATCATAATGCCAAGCCAGGTAGAATATGCCTTCTGATGAATAGAATATGCAGCAAGGATTGATTTCAATGAAAGTTCTGGATAAAGAAATAACGTTAAGATCAAATTAAATGAATAGGATTTGAGCTAGTTCTATAAAATTTTCAAATATAATCTAATATGGGGGTTATAATGATGAGGTTCTTATTTCTATTGTAAAGAAAACATATAAGAATTTGTTCAAACTTGATATTTTTTCATAATACAAATCAAATTTTGACCTATGAAAGTTATTACACTAACTGTAACAGTAGGCTGCATGGGTGGAGTGGATGTGACTGCATCGTCCAAGACTTCATTAGAAGGTTCAGTGGATGTTGGAGACAACCCTTGACAAATCTGTATGATATAAAAACTGTCACAAAAACTCCCATAGTTTTCAATACCTACCGGTACGTATATAATTTCAAACATTCCAGGCCATTTGATTGCAACCAAGCAAATAAAATTGTAGACTTGCCAATATATTATTCATTGCATGAAAATTTTGAAATTTTAGCTAATATTTCAAAATAATTTACATATAAAGATCAATTTTTTAATGTAGTAATCACATAGAATTTATTATTTATAAGATAAGGAGTTAAATTTTGTATATACTTACACAAAATGTTGATATAAGAAGACAAAAAACTCTTAATCTTTTGGTCATTTTGTTAGCCTGTGATCTGAAAAAAAGCTAAATTAAAAATAAAACAATATGCTATGTGTGTATGTGTTGCAGTGCATTGAGAGTAAACTCAGTAAGGGATATACAGTACTATCAAAGTTGCTTGCAGCACTTTCTTATTAAAAATTACCCGGCGATGCATCTTGAAAATGGTGGTGGGCAAAAAATCCATCCATATCTTGGCGATGCTGCTTGCATCCTCTGCACCCTAGACCACTCTGACATGACTGCAACTATGTGATCTTCAAGGAAACGTTTTGGGTTGACTTGTTGTTATTATGATCTGCAGGATATTTTGACAGAAGCCTTGAAGTAATGCAGATTGTAGAAGTTGAAAAATTTTATGAAATGACATGTTTGTGAATGCAAAGTTTGAACTATGACTTTCAATCAAACAAAAATATATGACATTAGAGCCGTGAGATTTCATGCCAACTGAAATTATATGTATTAGAGCCACGATATTTCAGAAAAAAAGTAGGACTTTTCCAGCCATGGACAAAATATGAAAATAGCAAAAGGCAAAACTCCAGAGTTCAGATCTTCCAAACTGAAAACTAAACATTTACATACTGCCATACTGGTGCACCTGTGTGCAGAGAGTGATGAAGATCTTAAGAGCTTCTGAGACACATTGGTGGCGAAATTTCTCTCAACTGAAGATCTTGGCAAGTCATTTGTCAACCACTTCAAACCTTCGGCAACATTTTCTCTAATCTTTGGCAAGGCAGAGCAGAAGAGAGTACTGAAACACCACTGGCTACAGTGCAATTGTAAACTAAAATGAAAAAATTTTCAGCATTCTTATTTCATTTATTGTTTCACTTTAAATCCTTTACTAACACATTTTCTAGCATAATTGTACAAGTTTACTCTGCTTCCTAGGGTTGCCGCGCAATCAAGGATCTCAGACTTTTGATCACATTGTTTACATTACATCGCGACGCCTGAGAGGCGCTTTGAAGGGCACCATTGTACTGTCTTCTCTTCCTTGCACGTAGATAAATACATACATAGATACACAGATGCATACCTACTTCATTGAAGACCAGAGAATTTGTTTTATTTTTGCAATTTTCTTATTAGTTCTTTCAATCGGTTGAACAATGTTTTGTTTGCACTTTTAACTTGATAATGAATGATTGATACATTTGAAACGTTATTAAAGAAATAAAAATGTCCATCAGTATGCTGATTTTTTATTTACTGGTGCTGTTATTGTAATATTGTTCAATAAATATATATATTGTTCAAAAATATTGTTCGATCTATTGAAAAAACTAATAAGAAAATTGCTAATACAACAAATTCTGTGGTCTTCAATGAAACCTGCTTAAAGGAACAAATTTTGCCAACCTATACCGTACTAATAGATACATACATAGATAGATACAGACTTTCATGCATTACATAAATACATACATGCATAAACAACCAGTGATGTATGTATGTAACTACATACCTATAGACATATGAGGGAGACATTGTTTGCAAGGGTAATCTTTGGGCAAACCAAGCTCATGTGTTTCAGCTCACAATTGCTGATTTTTCTATTTTATTTATTTATTGTTTTCATTTACTACAACCATGGTTATTATTTGTCATCTTTCATGCTTATCATGCAAACTAATAGTATTTCATGCATTTGTGTCTAATGTCGCCTTATGTTTTTTATGTCTCGTTTCAGGTATTGAACAACCCCATAAACCTAAATTACTGCATGCCAAATAAATTTGTCTCGAGTTAGCAGAATGTTCTGAAACTCACACCGCCATCACCAGTCGGTGATTTGGTTGTTTAGTCTGCACTTTAATTATCAATTATCTAATTATCAATCAATCTAATATATATCAATCTAATATACAGGTCTAATATACATGTTTTAGGTTACTTATTATATGCATTTTGTTCTTATTCATTCTATTGTCATTTATTGTTATAATGGTTCTTTTCATATCTGTCAGTTTGATTAATTTTTAGTGTGATGCTTGTGCTGCAATAATTACTTTTAATCATTTCTTAAATCATTTTTGCACTTAAAAGATCTGCACTTGCATTTGCCCTTGACTGTTTTAACTCTATAATATATTCCTTAATTCACTATCCTATTTTGTTGATCATGTTTAAAGTCAAATTAACTTTACTAAATCCCATCGGTCATAGCAAATAAATTAGTATTATGTCTCTTATTGCATGTATATTTATGTTCATTTGTTTGTTTCAGTTGCTGTGTGTATCATTCCACCCATAGTTTCATAGTTCCATAGTCCTAAATTTGCTTGTTTATTGATTCAATTCTAATTATGAGTTTGGCAAACTATTTTTTATTGTATAAAATTTTAATATATTGGCTTTTTTTAATAAATGAAAATAAGTATTCAAATAAAAGCAAATCCCTCAGTAATTCATTAATTCTCATTTTCTGTGACAAGCACTATGAGTAATTTTCACTAAGTGAACGAGTTTGTTCCACCCGCTAGTGCGCCCAGTTACAACGTTACATAGCACTGCATGACCTCTGCTTGTTTCCCACCCTTTTGTGATCAAGCCAGTCACACCGATCAGTCAGTCATACCATACCACGCCAATGGTAAGCATACCACAGTTGTATTCTTTCTTATATATATATATATATATGGTATGGATACACCACTGATGGTATGATGTTATTCTAAACCTTCAATTGTTCCAAAATTTTTACAGTTGCACACCTATGATAACTTGCATATACAAAATTTTTTAATATTCGTTACTTGGTAAATAGAACGCGGAAATACTGATTTATGGTATACCATCAACCGGGGCTACTCGGGACAGTTTTGAGCATTTTTTTGTTAATAACTTCTTACGATGAAACATTTCATAAACAAGTTTAGGCTCATTTTATAGCTCTTTGCGAGGGCTATTGAATGGCATTGTCAAAAAAATTTCATATGCTATTTTTGTAAGGTGCCAGAAGCAAAAAAAAAGAGTGTCCCGAGTAGCCCAGTCGAACAGGGCTGCTCGGGACACTTGGAATAAAACTTCATTTTAAAACATTTGAAGCATGCAGAGCGTACTCATCCATTACTAACAGTACTCTGAAGTCCTCCTCTTTCATTGTAGATGATGTAGAGGTAGAATAAATGACATTTTCTGTGATTTTTACTTGTTTTTCCTTTATTGATATGATATTACCATACACATTAATTACCGTATTATTGATGTGACATTATCGTATTATTGACGCAATATTACCGTATCCATGAACATGCCATTGAGCATTTGCAACAGTGGTTCCCAAACTTTTTCAGGCTGGCGCCCCCTTTGGCTCCCTAGTGAATTTCTAGCGCCCCCCACCGACAAATAAAAACATACGCCTCTTTCTTGAAATTTAGTACGCTGTAATTTAAAAACATAATGGTTAACCACAAATGTGTATTTCACAAATAGAACCCCATTTAGCAAACCAATATGTATTTCAGCTGCTTTAACTGTTTCAGAACTAGAAACCTAGGACGTCTCGGGTAAATTTACGGCCGGACTCGTGGCCGGTCTCCCTGCCAATCTCCAAATTCAGTGACCACGAATATCTCCCAAACTAATGAACGCAGCGCAATGAAACTTGGAACATGTATTCATCAGAACCTAACGGTGATGTTTAGCTTGTGAAAATTTGTTGCATTTCATCTTCATTCGTGAGTTATATAACTTATATTGCGATACAGGCCAAAATTCGCAGTGATCAAAGAATTTCTTCCTAACTACTGAAAAAATTTGAACGAAATTTTGAATATATATTCCTAACTACCAAACGGGGATTTTATTTTTTGTTCAACTTTCAATAAATTTTTCGATTTCGCCTTCGTGTGCGAGTTTTTTTTCATTTCACCGTCATTCTTGATTTCACACTTCCTTATATTTGCCTCGCATCGCCGGATATTTTGTCGCTTAAATTCGCAGTGATCAAGAAATTTCTTCTAAACTACTGAAGAGATTTCAACGAAATTTTGTATGTTAATACCTTACTTCCCAACAGTGATGTTTAGCTCGTGACAATTTTTATAATTTGCTTTCGTTATCGAGTTATACAGATATAGGAGAAACGACCGGCTTTTCTACCGGCCGGTTTAACCAAGAGCCGTTTACGTATATAGCCGTATACGTATAGCCATATAACTCCCAAACGGAGATAAAATCGAAAAAAATTGTAACAAGCTAAATATCATCGTTGTTGAGGTTAGGTTTTGAAATACCAAGTTTCGTTCAAAACTTTTCAGTAGTTTGGAAGAAACTTCTTGATTACTGCGAATTTAAGCACGTATTGCCGTTTAAATCACGAATGTAGGTGAAATTGAAAAAAACTCGCGAACGAAGGCAAAATCGAAAAAAATTTTCAGGAGCTAAACATTACTGTTCAGTAGTTAGGACTGTAAATTTAAAATTTCGTTCGAATCTGTTCAGTAGTTTGCAAGAACTTCTTGATCGCTGTGAATTTCGGCTCGTATCGCCATATAACTCACAAGTGAACGCAAAATTAAAAATAATTTCACGTGCTACACATTACCATTAGATCCTAATGAATACGTGTACCAAGTTTCATCGAGTTACGTTCATTAGTTTGAGAGATATTCCTTGATAGTTTGTTGATTTTGGAAATTGGCCGTGAGACCGGCTGCAAGTCCGGCCGTTAATTTGTCCGAGACGTAAACCCAGGGGAGGTTAAAAAAACAGATCTGAGTGAAAAAAAAAACATCGCTGGGAGTCCTGTGCTGCAAGTGTTGTGTATAAATCGTCAAACAAACGCTCAAATTTCTGACTTCGACTTCGGATTGCCGCCCCCCTATTGCCTCCCTATGGCCCACTTCTTCAATACCGCCCCCCAAAATCTTTCTACCGCCCCTAGGGGGGCGATATCGCCCACTTTGGGAATCACTGATTTACAACAACCTTGTCCACTGCAAGCTTCATATCAGCAGCCTTTAGAATTTTTTCTGTATCTGTAAGCTTACAGGACGGCTTGT